GAGAGAGAGAGAGAGAGAGAGAGAGAGAGAGTTTTAAATGACTATGAAGGTACTCAGTATCCTGGATTCTGTACCCACAGCTGAACACTGCACATGATTGAAACCATTCAATGCTCCCTCTAAACTGCGGAGTCTCATGAGCCAAAAGACCTACTAGGATTAAGATTGTGAGCGAGCCTACATTAAAAAAAAATACTGGGAAGGAGTGGAGGGAGGGGGAGGGGAGGAAATTGCCTTCCCTTCACTCCTGGAGGTGTGCCGCTGTAGATGGAGGACTCGTGGGTGCAAGCCCCCCCCCTTTATAGGGCCAGCTGAACCGGAGGGCCACCCAGGAGAGGAAGCACCCCTGCACTTAGCTAAAATCTCTGCACCAAGGGGTAAAACATTGTGCACCAGCACATGCTGGCGCACCTTAGCGGGAACACTGCATGCAATACATACAAAAACTGCAGGCTTTTAACATACCACTACACATGCAGCTAGACGGCACAGCAGACTCATTCATACCTTGTAGTGAGTTGCAAAACCTTGGGAGTTATACCATCTCATATTGATTATTTGTGATGGACCGGGAGAGGCAACAGGCAAGGAAGATCCCAACCAACTAAGAAGAAACAAAGACAGGAGAAGTGAGGTTAAATAGTAACAAGCTGAAAGCCAGCAATTTCACATAGCCAAACTCCAGCTCCAAGCCAACTGCTGTGACTGGGCCAGAGATCAAAGTCAAGATGACTTGCCAACTTTTTGCACAAGATAAAACTGGGATGAGATTCTGTAGAAAAACAGAAGCCAATAACCTCTTTTATTGCAGCTTCAATACCGAAGGAACCAGAGACTGGCTTTCTGGGCTCCTGGGAATACGAAGCTTCAACCTTCTCCCTCGTCGGACCCTATACAATGAATCATCTAGTGTTCAACAAATTTCACAGAGATTTTACTAGTAGTAGCATAGCTACTAGTAGCATAGCTACTACTATTACGTAGTCATCAACAAAACAAAAGAGTGTTTCACAGGCTTGTGAAGAACATGAGAGACAGACCTGGAATTCTTCTGTGCATGAGAGCGGAACCAAAAACAATCAATACACCAAATGATAAACTGGAAAGGGTTAGGGGACAGGTAAGATATATTACAGAAACATATATAAGCCTAGTAGAACAATTCTGCTGTAATGCACAAGATACTTATTAGTGAAAAACATAAAATAACTTTAAGATCAAAGTAGTAACTATGTAAGTAAGTAGTAAGCTGCGGTGGCTCAAGTGGTTAAGACGCTGAACTGCAGGCTGTGGAAGGCCGGTAGTTCAGCAGTTCGAGACCCCAGTGGCGCAGGACGGAGTGAGCTCCCGTCTCTAGTTCCAGCTTCTGCCAACCTAGCAGTTCGAAAGCAAGAAATTGCAAGTAGATAAATAAGTACCACTTCGGTGGGAAGGTAACAGCGTTCCATGCGCCTCGGTGTTTAGTCATGCCGGCCACATGACCACGGAAACGTCTTCGGACAGCGCTGGCTCTTCGGCTTTGAAACGGAGATGAGCACCGCAACCCTAGAGTCGGATTCGACTGGCTTTCGAGCAAGGGAACCTTTACCTTTACTTTTTAGTAACTATATAAATAAAATAATGCAGATTGAATGCATTTCAACCAAATAGTCTTCAGTGGTCTCTAAAAGGCTATACTGATCCATAAAAGTACATATATAGCAAAATATCATCACATTTTAAAAGTTTTTAAATTTAGATTTTATTCTGTATACTATCTCTGTTTTTTCCTTCTTTTTCATATTATGTTTGTATTGTATGCTGGTCTTAAGACCATAATAATAAAACTAAACTATATCAAAATATCAAGAGTATGAACGCTATATATAGTTGGACTAAGCCCCTTCAATAACTCTTTACAGGTCTTGTTTTGGAAAATTAAGATGTATTATTCCCTCTGCCTAATATATTTGCAGTAGCACTTCCAACCTGCCAAGCTCAATCTTCAGTTTATCCATTTGCATCCACTCCAAAATTGCCACCAGGCACCAATTCAGGGTTCCTACAGCTTCCCTGGGATCCACTACAAATGCTAACCAGAAGGGTGTAGACTTTCCAGTTTCCCGGGGGGGGGGGGGGTGGG